GCTTGTTCTTTCCTGGCCCTCTGCCCTTATGCATTGTTGTATCCAAGGCTGTAAAGCCAATGCCCCATTTTATTCAGATAGCAGATTTTTCTCATCATTCAAACCTTTGCTCAGACATCCCCTGTTCCAGAGGGTCTTACCTGAATCACCAGGGTGGCTTGGGTTTCCTGTTTCTATCATAGTGCTTGTTTCCCTATATTGAAATTATCTGTTTACTTTACTGTCTTCCTCGCTATACAGTAGATTCCTTGAAAAGATGTGTATTCTATTCATCTTGGGATAATTAGTAACTGGACAGTGCCTTGCACACAGTAGGTGCTCAATATATGTTGAATGAATAAAATAATTAATATATAAGGAGAGGGAACACAAATACACAGAAAATAACCATTTAATGAACTCAGCAAATGGCACCAATCTTACCTGACCTATATCAGAATTCAGGATTAACTCAGAATCAATTAAGCACCTTTTTCAATATTTGAAGGTGTAACCTATATCCTTTCTACCCATTCCTTATTTCTAGAACCTCTTTATCATTTTCAAATATCTTTTTGCATATTCACATACATTATGTCATTTAATCATTAATGCCACTACAAGATCATGTTACCCAGCTGGGATTTAATGTGACAAGCTCAGTATGTCCAAGTATTGTAGTAAGATGAGCAATGGACTTAGAGTTGGACAATCTCAAGTCCCTGGTCTACCATTTAACTACTGCGTTATTGGAGAGATCCCCGAACCTGTCTCAACTGCAGCTCCCTTTCCCACTTTGCCATCCCCAGTGAAAGTAAATTGTTATTTATAAAATTGTTGTTATTATTATCCAAATTGGCATTTGGAGGTAGCCAATTAAACCAGAAAGAGCATAGACTTTAGGGTAAGACAGGCCTGGTTTTGAATCCTAGCTACACCACATAATAGTTGAGGGACCTTTTGCCTGTTACCAAACCTCTTGAGCCAGTTTTCTCATATACAGAGATACTAATGATTTCCTCTCAGGTTATTGTAAAACTTAATAAGGAGTATAAAAACATTTGCAGATTTTTACAGGGCCATATAAAATTATTATTATTCTTCTTTGACCAGGCTTACGAATGGCATAGAACAATGTTTCTCAAAGTGCTTTGTATGCCACATCATTACAAGAGTATTTAATAGGAGTGCCTCTAAAAAATTATTGACAATTGCATATTAGCTTATTAAAGGCTCTGAGAAGTCCTGCTATGGAGAGAGCTGTTTGACTTGTTTAACCTATTAACGTCCCAGTTTATTTGAACATGGAGCACACTTAATACCTTGTGGAACATCGAGTATGACAAGAGCAGAACAAACTCCTCTTTCACCACGTCACTCCCACATAGCTCACGTGGTAGGGACTCAAACAAAACTCAAAATAATAAAAATAGTGAAGATACTCTCCACTCCACATACAGTGACTTATTGTTTGCAATGTGCATATTTTCTAGAAAACAACTAAATACGTACATGCAAACATAGGAGAAATTTAGGTAGAATTTTAAAACTAAATCTTATCAATTCTGAAGCAAAAAGACATTTAGATATAATTGATCGTGGGTATGTGGACAAAAAACTGTTCTCGTTGGGTATTTGTGATTCCCTCTTTGCAGTTTCTGAAATCATATAAAAAGGATAAGAAAGAAAAACTTTCTCATTCATACAGAGGCACAGTTCCTTTAAAGTCATAATTGCTCTTCCACAAGCTAGCAGAAGTTCACTTCATTATTTCAAATGGTTCTTTCCCAGCATCACCTCCTGTAAATTTAAAAGCTGCCATTAATTTCCCATTAGTAATCTTTAATTAAAGTGAATATGTATCATTGCTTTTAGCAGTTGCATTTATAATACATGTATAAATATATGCAAATCTTGTCCACAATGTTTCTTTTCTTTTTTTTTTTTCCTTTTTGTCTTTTTTACTGACCCGTAACGGGATCGCAACCCTCGGTGTTGCGTCCATACCGGGGACCGGCAACGGGATCGCAACCCTCGGTGTCGCGCCCGCACTGCGCTCAGCCAGTGAGCGGGAACCAGTCTCCACGTGGGATCCGAACCCTCGGCGGGAGCGCCGCTGCGCTCCCAAGTGGCACACTCTCCAGTGCACCACTAGGCCGGCCCGTCCACAATGTTTCAAACAGCTTTTTCTGAACAAGCAAAAACTTTGATGTTATTTCAAAAGATTTTATCTACAGAACACTTTTAGAATCTAGTCCTTCCCTAAAATAACTAGAATTTCATGGAAATACAATGGACTGTTGCCAACCTAGCTAAAATCTATTTTATTGATCCCTGAAAGTAGCATGTTAAAACATGAATAATGACTGCTGAGCCTTGAACCACTCATTCCCTGGTGTTTCTGCAACATTTGTGTACAATGCATTGAAAAGAAAAATTAGAAACATGCCTCTGCCTCTGTTAGCTTAAGGAATCAAAGTGGTCTAAGACAATTGTCTAAGACAATACTCAGATGAGCTGAATTTCACCAGCTTATTATCAAAGATATATCTAATTCAAATTAAATGTTCAACACTCAGAAATTGGAACATATTAGAATGCATCTGAATGATAAATTCCGAATATTAAAGTATAAGCTTTCTTATACTATTTCCATTTCCTACATTAGGGTAAAAGTGTTTTTTAAAAAACATATTTTATAAAGAGAAAATTAGGCTGATTAGTCTGAAATCATGCTTCCACCAGGTTGCCTTGGCATCTCCCAAATATCTTAACCAAAATCCAAGAACAGTTAGATTAGCTGATAATTCAGACTTACATACTAAGCTCACTAGTCTAAAAATGTTGACAAATGTGATGATATTTTCAACAATAATTCTTCCTCCCAGATAATCATTTGTTATTAGAATACACTCCAGAGTCTCTAAGGAAAATACTGTAGAAATGCTTAACAACAACAACAAAAACCATGTGTAACCATAGTTTCTTCAAGGGATGGGTAAGTTAATGGATTTGCTGACATCCTGATCTTTCTGCATCACCCCTCCCCCTCGATAGCTTTTCTGTATGGTCAGTTGACCCAGTCGCTGTACTCTCACTGAGATGTTTTAAGGTCTTTATCTTTTCCTGATTATATTTCTTACTCTCGGCATATTATTTTCTGAAAAAATTAAGAATCATTTTTCAACTGGGAAATGTTTGCTTTACAAGGTTTAGTAAACACAACTATAATTAAAATGACTTCAGTTCACAGACTTTGATATATTCTTCATTAAGCATTAATCTGTAGAAAACATGGATAGTTTTTCAGATAATATAATTAAGAAGTACGCACATTATTTCACAAATCTAAAAACTGAAAAGGTGATTAAAAGTAAGTGATTTCCAAATTTTGCATAAAGTTAGAAAAAGTTAACAAATGGAATGCTAAGCTACATTTACCACATTATCAGGTTTAAAATGCTAGTCATATGCAGCCTAGCCACTAAATAATTTCAGTAATTAAACCAAGTATTCACATTCTTCATCATACTTGGGGAAGAGCAGCAAGCTACAAGTCTTCCCAATAGTCCTCCATGGGAAATATGACTGTCACATTGAACTGACATTTCAAAAAGTCCCTTTGAGTCCAAAATACAGAGGTTTGCAACATCAGTTTGTCTGATTGAATGTCACACATCACTTTTCCAGAAAGTATCTGCTTGAAAAATTTTACAGTCTGAAATGTCACATCTATAGTGATGCTTACCCTGCTGTACAAAGCATTGGTCCCAGGAAAGGTTGTGAAATCATCACACTTCCTCTTCTCAGTTGAAAACATTGTTGTTCACCATAAACAAAAAGAACTTTGTGGTTCTAGTCTACAAATTCTCTGAGTTGCTTCACATGGGATACTTTGGCATAGTCAATGACTTATAATGTCCTTTATCACAAAAATAACTATAAGTGAAATTGAAAAAGAACACTGGTGTAGCAGTGTAGAGTCCCATATTGGTGCACTTTATAAAGTGTCATCATGTCACTTATAATACATCATATTTACTAAGTAACTTTGAAAACCAAAAAAGCTCAGGATGTAAGCAACTATACTTCCAAAGAAATATTTTTCGTAGATGTAAAATATTGCTTCAACAAGATACTAAAAACATAATCAAAAGGTCCATGCACTGACTGTTCAAGTGATGGTTTCTCTCTGGTCAACAAGTGTAGCCTTGTATTGTAGTTTGTACGTGGAAGTGATATCTGCGCGAAAAGACTTGGTAGATCAGATGACAAGCAGCAAAGCAGCCAATGAAGATGCCAAGTATGATTAAAGTTTACACAATGCACCACCCCTTTTACAAGGGTTCTTAGTTATAGGAGAAATTAGATATAGGGAAATTGCAAGATAATCAGAAGTTGCACTATAAAAGTAAGTCTGGATCTTATGAAGTGTACTTATTCATGTTTGGAGATACACATATGACAAGTCTTGTGCCTACTAAGCTTTTTACTTTGAGTATAGTACTTCTTTAGCAGTGATGATAAAATATGGGTACTTTTGAGCAGCAACAACTCCCATCTAACTAGAATTAGCCATTTTTCTCAGGGAACAAAAGAAACCATCCAAATTGCAACACACACCTCAAATTCAACATAATAAAAAATGATTTTTAGAAGCTGTGACAGAAATCCTCTCCTACTCACTGAAACAATATCACTAAAAATGGGGAGGGGGAGGGTTGTCGCCTATAAAGACAGAGGTGCCAGTGAGGCAGAGTGGGAAGACAGAAGGCACGAGATGTTCAAAACCACTTTGCTGTCTTCCCTTGTTTCCCACTTCCTTCCCACCCTAGGCTGAGATCGCAAATTCGAAAAATGCAAGACCCCATTTAAAAAAAAAAAAAAATCAAAAAACTGAAAGAGTGTGACTAGGGTTACTACCACAGCAACCCTGAACGATTTTCGTGCAAAAGCAAAGCAGTGGGGATGTAGTAGTAGCAGCAGCAAATCTCCCTCTTCCCCCACCCTTGATACGGTACCTCCAGATTTGCCCGAGCTGCAAGATGTGGATGAGTGACTGCAGGAGCCAGATGCAGAAGGAGCAGGACGCAGACCTGTGTTTGCCGCTGGCCCGGGTAGCCCCGCTGCTGTTGCTGCCGCTGTTGGTGGCGGTGATGTTGCTCTTGCTGGCGTTGGATGCTTGCCTTTGCGGCGTGGAAGGACGAGCCTCGCCTTCCCCGGCTGCAGACCCACCGCTGACCACCGTCTTGCAATCCGCTCCAGACTGCTGGCAGCTGGCGGCCGCGGTGGCCGTGGCGCTGTCCTCGGTGCTGAAATCGTGCACAAACCAGCGGAAGCTGAACACTTGCACCGAGAGAGAGCCCAGCACCACGAAGAAGAGCGTGAGCCCGAACCACCAGCGCTGGCCGCGCAGGTAGTAGTCCACGGCGAGCCAGATGTCCGTGCCCACGTCCGCGAAGTACACGGCCACGGCGGCCAGGATCCAGAGGCCGTCCCACAGCGAGTAGCGCCGCTGCTCCCTGCCCAGGCGCAGGCACAGCGCCGCCGAGCCCGCCCCGCTGCCTCCG